TCCTTGCCGAAAGCGAAAAGGAGTTGGAAAAGAAGCTTGAACGAGTTATTAAGAAAATGGTCGACAATGATCTCTATCTCAAGCTGGAGAAATGCGTGTTCAAAACTACATGCACGGACTTCCTAGGACTAGTTCTTCTCCCAGGACGACTTCAGATGGATCCAGCAAAAGTCAATGGGATCATCAAATGGGAAGCCCCAACTGGCATAAAAGGAGTACGAGCATTTCTAGGATTCGCCAACTTCTATCGAAAGTTCATCCAGAACTATTCTGAAATCGCAAGACCCTTAATTGATCTTACCAAGACCAAGGGCGGGAATGTGTTCCATTGGACGAGCAAAGAACAAGCCGCTTTTGACTATCTTAAAAATGAGTTCGGCAAGGCACCAATACTGGTTATGCCAGACAAAAACAAGCCTTTTGTCATCGAAACTGATGCATCGGACTTCGCTACAGGAGCAGTCCTCATGCAAAAGGACGATAATGGCGACCTCCATGCCTGCGCATATTATTCCAAGTCGCTCTCCGATCCGGAACGAAATTATCAAATCTATGATAAGGAGCTGCTAGGAATCATTCGCGCACTCAAGGAATGGAGACACTATCTCGACGGAACAAAGGAGCCATTCCTCATATGCACAGATCACAAGAATCTGACGTACTTCAGGCAACCGCAGGACTTGAACCCAAGACAGCGAAGATGGCAACTCTTCTTGTCTATGTTCAATTACAAGATTGTCCATACGCCGGGACGACAAATGGTGCAAGCGGACGCGCTTTCACGGTTGTCCGAATTAGACAATCGCCAAGATAACAAGTCACCTGCAATCCTGCTACCTGATGATCTCTTTATTGGTGCTATCGATACAGATATGGCGGAACAAATCCGACAAGCACTAACAAAAGATCCATCGGTACTTGCGTACAAGGATGGCCTAATGGAGGAACTTCCAGTTCCGCGAGGAATGACAAAGGACGACATCAAGGATGCTGACAACCATTTAATCACCATCCATGGACGCGTATATGTCCCAAACAATACATCCTTAAAGAAGGAAATTGTTCGGCGATACCATGAGGCCACTCCCCATGGTCATCCAGGAATCTGGGTTACGCACCAACTAGTGCGCAAAGATTTCTGGTGGCCGGGAATGTATCGCTTCATCCAAAGCTACGTCAATGGATGTGCCACCTGTCAGCAATCCAAAGCTGTTCGAAACAAGGCCAAAGTTCCACTACAGCCCATAGGTCCTTCGCCCAATGCGCTACCTTTCAAGCAGGTTAGCGTGGATTTTATTACAGATCTACCGCAAAGCGAAGGCTTCGATTCAATTATGGTCATGGTAGACCATGGGCTTAGTAAGGGGGTAATTCTATGTCCCTGCAAGAAGACGATCACTGCTTCGGAAACTGCCGAGCTATTCAGACGACAAGTTTGGAAACACTTTGGGCTACCCGACAAGATCATCTCTGACCGTGGAACGCAATTCGCATTCAAAGTATTCCAAGCACTGTGCACTGCCCTCAAGATCAAGTCGGCTATGAGCACGGCCTATCATCCGCAGACGGATGGTGAAATGGAGCGAATGAATCAAGAATTGGAAACATATCTTCGAATGTATTGTGCGGAGCAACCGCATCGCTGGAATCAATTCCTATCCGAAGCAGAGTTCGCGCACAATCTTCATACTCATTCAGTGACAAAGAAGTCACCATTCGAAATATGGTATGGCTACGAGCCCCGAGGAATGCCAGAACTGTTTCCTCAGGACGAGATCCCTGACGTGGATGCAAGACTCAAGCTTCTCAGCATGGTCCGCAAGGAGGCCACAGAAGGAATTGTCAAGGCAAAAGCCCGTGTATCCACCAGGATCAAAGGAGGATCTCCGACATTCAAGAAAGGAGACAAGGTCTGGCTGGAAGCCACCAATTTGAAAAGGCCTTACAAATCGAACAAGCTAGCGCCGAAACGAGAAGGACCATTCAGGATCAAGGAGGTTCTGGGACCACTCTCGTTCAAGTTAGACCTTCCCGCGACATGGAAGATCCATCCGGTGTTCCATGCTGCATTGCTCACGCCATATCAGCAGACCAATACACATGGGGAAAGTTATTCAACACCGCCTCCGGATCTTATCGAAGGAGAGGAAGAATTTGAAATTGAGTCTATAATTGGACATCGACTACGGCGCAGCAAAAACGAATATCTGGTAAAATGGGCTGGATATCCACTCAGCGAAAGGTCATGGGTAAAAGAGACAGAAATGGGTAATGCAGAGGAGTTGCTGAACGAGTATAAAAGGGAGCACAACTTGGCCTGAACCCTCAGTCCATGCCCCAATGCCCGTGCAACATCCCGAGTTTCTCGAATCTGCTATCACCACTTTTGCGCATCTTATCGAAGTTCTCGAAGACGTCGAATCTCACTCCTCCCACGATCATCGTTACCAGGTCTTCCAACAGCTCGGAGTCTATCTCACTATCAGAGGGGCTGGATTCGCCATCAAGGATCTTGCCGACTTCGACCATACCAACGTCGAGTTCAACATGACCCATCCAAGTCATGATGGACCATCTCATCCAGAGAGCGGACGACGTCCACGAAGTCCACCTCCTGAACGACTTCAGGTCAACTCGACGACAGCCATATCTAACCCCGCGCCCCAGTGGGCTAATCAGAATTCCTTACCCGTTTCCATTCCAAACGGACAAGCCGAAGGTAACACTAGAGGACGATGTCGATATCGACCTAGACGGAACATGGAGAACGTTCATGAGAATGAATTACCCCATGTACCTAACGGAGGAACTTCACCTGCCCCGGCTAGAGCCAGATCGACGCCGGACCATCCTAACAGCCGTCTACGCCGGCCTTCCAGTGGGAATCCTCCCACCATCGTACGCTCTAGATCATCCGCTACACTTTGATATCTTACCGGCAGCACTCTCATTCGCTCTGGATGTGTTCAGTGTCGTACACGGCACCGTATCAAGAACAATGACAATACCAGTGGAAGAACGTACGGGAATGGCGAACATTCACATCACGGACTGGTATGAAGAAGAGGAACGGCTGCTCGAAGGTATAAGTAGCGGCCCTCCTTTCTCTCTACTAGACCATCGCCTCCTCCTACTCGAGTGGGAACTCTACGAGGAAATCTATCCTTGGGATAAAGAGAATCGCCCTGCTATCCCACCTCCACCCATGTCACTCAACATCTGTGTCACCACCACCGTCACTCGCAGCACATCAGAGCCAGGACTCCTTCTCGACAGCGATGGAGACGAACTCCCGCTTCTAGGCAACCTTAGCGATGAAGCACTGACCGAGTCATGGAGGAGTGCACGTTGGGGAGACGATGAAGACGAGACAGGTCGTTGGACGACGGGAGGATCTTGGACGACGGGGAGAGCTTGGGGTGGCAACGATGAACAGGCAAGGAGTGCCGACGATGAACAACCCGACTACCCTCACTGTCCTAAGGCCACCTACCCCTATAACACCACACCTGAGGATGGATCACAACCTGCACCAGCTGACACCATCAAGGAGCAGATAAGGTATGCTCGAACGGTCAAGTCTTCGAGCAACCCAGCGGCAGGGCAGGTATCGCTCATCGCCCTGGACGTAGCATCACCCTACGATGTCTTCATAGCCACACCACTAACATTCCTCATGGAATGTGATGGCCATCGTCTCTACGTTCATCGTACGGGCACGGGCGACTTCGCCACCTTCCACGCCTTTGTCTTCACTTGGGACAACCAGAAGGTCACCTGGCACCTCTACTCGGAAGACTCACCTCATCGCGTCTTCAGTCAATGGGTCACTTTGCTCTATCCGCCACCCATCCCAGGCATGCACAACTGGCATCCAATGCCCAACCGGACGCGCATCATCAGCGTTCGCTTCGCGGGCAAGGAAGAAGGTGTTGAACAATACGAGGTCGAACTCTTTAGGACGTTCTCTGATCAAGTCCACTATGGAGATGCCAAGACCCCTCGTGAGTTCACGCCGGTCATCTTCCAACCCCTTGTCGCCATGATCGAGAAGCCTGGGTGGCTTACCGACGGGGTCGAGGCACTGAAGGCGGTCCTTTACGAAGACGGGTCAGTCTCGCACTGGGCGCCCACCGAGTTCCATCCTCAACCCCAAGAGGATCTCGACGCGGAATGGGAGGTCGTACCTCATACCACCAGCCCAGTCTATGGCTATATAGGCATCTGCGGCGGATGATGAGGGGTTAGTTTGGTGAGTGGTCGTCAAAGGGTCTTGCCGGTTGGAAGGGGGAGCTTGTGTTACGGTTTTAGCGCTTCATGGTCACGTGACAGTTTACGTTGCACGTGACACTTACTATTTATGGTTCATAGGTCTTGTGGACATATGCTAGGGTTAGCAGTTTT